ATGGCGATAATAAACTGAATGTGACTTTGGCCTGAGTTATTTTAATTCACTTAATATAAAAAAAAGCCCAGCTCTTCAATGTGCCCGGCTACACTGACATCAGATCGGCGACAGTCAGTCGGCTGAAAGAAAATTAATCCCAAGCAAATTTGATAACTCTTAAAACTAAACACCAAACAGTTGCTGCTTTGTTTTGCTTCCTTTGTTCCCACTAATTTGTGCTGAGCCCCATTTTTAGAACTGCCAAGTATTTATACAGAAACATCTATACCCTCAGTAACAGGAAAGGCGAGTGGTTTGTGTCCCTGCTTTGTTTGACCTCAGCTTCTCATGGTCCCCATGGTCCTTTCTTTTCTCAGTGAATTTCTTTCGATTTATCATTTGCCTAACATGATCAGTGAACAGGATAGTTTAGTGCAAACATTGTGTAGTGTAAATAGAACTGTTTTGAATAGTTTGTGCAGATGAAATAAAACTTTGCATAGTTTTTTGAGAAATCAGACGTTACATTTTGAAGCACAGGCCTTAGCAGCTTGGTAGCATCCACCAAGCCTGCAGTTCCTTCAATGGCCACTAGAGGCTGGCTCCAAAAAGGGGTTGGTCCCCATAGACTCCTGTGTTGAAATGCCCAATTTTACAGCAGAAATAAACATGTTTACAGCCTGGTACAAAAATGGTTTGGGTCTTTATAGCTAATTTCCCCTTCCATGAGAACAGTCGTTAGTATTAATGAACCACATGAAATTTCAACAGCAGTGCACATAATTCTGCAGCAGCAGTGTACTAATAAATATTATACTTTTGTTTTTCTTTATACCTTTTATTTAGGCAGGGTAGGTTCACTAAGAGGCCACCTCTCTTTTTACAGGAACGCCCTGATCACATTTACAGTTAAGCATATGGAAGCTGCCCAGTACAACCAGTTGGATTTAAGAGCCTTGCTCAAGGGCTCCACACTGGTGTGGGGCAGGCATTGCTTTGTCACTCATCCCACTCGGATTTAATCCTGCCGTTCCGGGCATTGAACCGGTGATGTTCCGGCCACAAGATCACCTCTTTAACTGCAGAATGTCTGCTGGGTTTTGAACTGTTGACTGGACAAAACCAGACCTTTTGCAGTCACCTCAGCTTCTAACATTTCATCATCAAAACATTTTATTGGCAGGCTATTCAGAATCATGATAGTGTTTTAATTATGCAGTGAATGGTTTCCACTCCAAACCAACTATAATTGGCAAATGTAATAACTACTTTGTTTCAGACTGAGTCTTTGCCACTGAGAATGATTAGTTTAATGTTTGCAGCTTGTTTGTGGCAGCTGTGGGGCTGCAGATTGTGTTTCATGTGTGAGGCTGCTGTAATATGGTCTTTTCTCGCCTCTAGCTCCAAACAGAGGAGCTGAGTCTGTGTGATGGATTCAGTATCAGTGTAAGCAGTAAAAGCAGCATTTTTGGAGCAGTGATATCTCAGTATTGAGCTGTAAACTATCTGTGTTGTACATAAAACTACATGTGCAATTTGCCCTAGATTTTATCATCTTACATGTAACCGAGCGACTCAGAGACCATACTTGATAAACATGAATGAAAGTGATGTTCTAGATTATTTTATGGTCAGAAAATCCCATGATCCAGCCATGGAGGAGCTCTGGGCAGCTAAAAGTCTGAACCAATGGCTGCCAGAGTGAAGAGGTGGTGTCTTTTGTGCAGAGAGAGTGGGACAAAGAAAGAGCAACAACCAGGGTTAACATGGGTTTGGTTGTTTGACATTCAGAGGGTTAAAAGCAGCCAGAGGACTCTGACTGGCTCCAGATGTGGCGTTCTTCCTTCTGGCTGTGTTAACATCTAAAGCTAACCTGGTAGCATTAGCCACCTAGCATGGTCAGGGCTTTACCTTTGTGTTGAATTAATATGATTTTAATTTGGGAGGAACTGGAGCTTTGTGTAACGTCAGTGCTTTGTGTCACATCAGCAGACGTTCTACTGGACTAACACATTTACTGTTAGCCAGCTAACGCTAGCTTCGGACTGGGGGCTGCATTTTCCACAGTTTGTCCCAACCAGGCATCCGTAGTTTACGTTGTTGCTAGGAAACCGGACGTGATGGGAGGGGCAGAGAGTGGTTAGGAGCAGCTGATGTGGTCAATTTGTTTTGAGTCTCACTGGAGTCTCTGGGCTGAAAAGTCAGTAGGTAAAGGAGGTTTAAGTGGGACATAAAATGAGGACTATTGTTACATTATGGAATGTTTTTATATTGTTGTACTGGTAGTTTTAAAGGATCTGAGTACATTATCCACAAATGCTACTTGAAAGCTCCAGAAAAGCCAGTCATTTATTTTATTTGTTAAAAATTAAATAAGAATTAAACAAGTTTGCATGTCTCCTGATTGCTGCTGCATGAGATCATGTTCTTTCACCACCACTTTATTTATTTATTCACCAAGGACAGTGCACATAAGATCTTTGAGTCTAGTTCATTTGGTGCTTTTTAAGGACACAATATAAATCTTCCTGCAGCCCAGTTCTCTGTTTATAACTCAGATCAGTTTCTTTGTTGTTCTACCTGAACAACAAAGTGTGGAGCTGCAGGCATAAACAACAAAACTACAAGCTACAATTTACTGCGACGCATGAGAGTGGAAACGTCCTTGTGTTTGAAATCCCATGAAATGGAGGCACAACTGAAAAATGAAAATGGAGGTTGTGTCACAGCATCTCCCACAGCCTCTGTCCAAATCCTCCCTAATGTTCATTTAACAGCAACAGAAGCAACGAATTTATCATCCAGAGTCTGTGAAGCACAGGATGAGATTTTACTGGGGAGAAAGCTACACCAGCATCAGTTCTGGTGACAAGGAAAAAACCGATTCAGTCGTATTTTACAGCTTAGTCAAACTTATGAAGACAATATTTGGGTTCATTTTACAGTGAAACAGCTTTAATGCTGTTTATTTTAATGCTTGTTGTGGCTGCAGCTGTTTGTCTTCACTGCTGCTGTTGTTTTTTCACATACCTACAGAATGTTCTGCTGTCAAAGCACTGGCAGTGCTTTTTTATTTTTATTTTTTTATTCAGTGGTGCAGAAAGTACTCATTCTTCAGTAAAAGTGTAAATATATGCTCTCTGGGTTTTGGTGTTTAATGAACAAAACGATCTGTTTTAAGACACTGAGCTTTGAGAAACCTATTTGAACATTTTTTCACACTTTCCTGACATATTAACGACCAGTTGATCAGTTACTTGAGAAATTCAACAGATAAATCCATTATAGAAATAACTGTTGGTTGCAGCCATGTGTAGAAAAATGGTTTTATTCATGTGTGGCTTTGTGAACACGTGTACCAGATTTAAAATTTTTAATTTGCAATCAAATAGATAAAAAGGCTTTTACTTTAAACACTTCCTGCAAGTAATTCAGTTTGCCACTGAGGGCAGCTCAGCTCTACTGCAACACACAAGCAGCTTGTCTTGACGAAGTTCCCCTCACGGAGTCGATATAGAGAGATGCGAAATGTTTCAACATTAAAGAAATGGTTGGAGCAAACACTGAGAGGAGAAGTCACATGACTTGGTGGCACAGTGTGCACATTACCAAGCACACTTCTGCATATTTAATACTTGACCTTTGGGTTCTACACTTACCCATTAAAACAGAACTCTGACCTGATCGTGTTCAATGTTCATGATGTGATTAGTAGCTTTTGTCAAAGAACGGCATATAACATGAGTCAGAATAATACAAGTACTTAACATGTGAATCTTGTGGAGCACATTATGGGCATTAAACGGTTAACTCCAGCTTATGTGGCCTCTATACTACGACTGAACAGCTGAATAATGTTTAATTTCCTCTAACTGTTGATGTGTTACGGTTTTAACGTGCGCGTGCACAGGCTTGTAAAAGTGCAAAGTGCAAATACTGTAACAGGAAGCAGCGGCTTCGCTGCAGAACCTTGTGTTGTATTCATTCGCTTGTTTTAATGGGCAGGATTAAGCTGGGCTTCTCTGGGAGAGAGTCATGACACATACAGAGGAATGAAATCGCACAGGTTTACACATGCTGTCATACCATTTGCATTGATGTTGGTCATTTTGTAGCTGCAGGTGTCCCCACATCTGGAGGAAAACCTGCGTCTTTGTTCAGTTCCAGACGAACCCAGGCACACATCGAGTCAGTATCAAGGGCTCCAGATATGCCTGTGCCAGGCTGAACAGTCTAAGGAGTTAATTTTTAACACTTCCTCTCAGAGTTGTTTAATATATTACAATATCCTGCTCTGGGAGCTGTTTCTGTGAAAATACTGCCTCAACTTCATCATCATAGGAATTTGTGCCAGAGGTGGATTCAGCTGAATTTACAGTTCACACACCCAAGAATATGTAGACTCTGAGACTTTTAAATTCTAATTTGATAGTTTTATCACTGACATATTTAATAAATGAAAATGTCAAGTTGTACTGTATTAGTTTTTTAGTTTGGCATTTTAACAGTGTTAACACAAGAACTGGTTTTCTGTAGTATTAATGAAAAAAGCTTGTCCTTGCATAGAAAAGCCTCAGGCTGAATTTTAAAACTGGATTATAAGCTTAAAAACACCCCCATAACAGAGAAAGAAATATTTAAATACAAATATATATATATACAAGAAAATTTATTAGGTCCACAATGACCTTTTTTTCCACTGGGCAACATGTTGGCGTAGTGGTTAGAAGGTTCCGGGTTTGAGCCCCTGTACGTTTACATAATATTGGTGTCATCATCTCTGACTTATTTTGTTTTTCCTCTGCACTTCACTCTCGTGTTACTTCATCAGGAGCTTCTGTTTCTTTGGCTCTGTCCTCAAAGATTGAACTCAGTCACAGATGGTTTTTCATTCTCCAAACAGCTCAGTAGCTTATTAAACACCAGATTCTGACAGTGAAACTGCCACAGGTGCCCGATGCACCACACCGGGGCCAATGACTTCTCTTCATCACTGTGCTCTTGTGTCTTTCTGTCAGTGGTTGGGTGCTCCCTCCTGCCAGCGAGGTGGCTACGCCTTCTACAAGTCTGTTAGCAGCAGAGCCAAACCCAACGGGCCCATCCAGGTGTGGAAGCTCGGGGAGTTTTACTTCATCCGCTGTGGGCCGCAGGATCCCGTGTGCGTCGCCGAGGTGGGACACCTGCATTCAGCCTCTACTACATTAAAGCTACTCTGATCAATGTTTTTGTAACAGTGGCTAAAGAGAGGAAGGAAGGAGCCATGTACAGAGAGTGAACTGACAAAATGCCCTTTACACTGCCTGTTTAAGGCGCAGTTATTTCCACCACACAATTCTATATAAAAGGTAATGTAACTAAAATGTCGACTTACAATTTTAAGACTTTGAAAACCCGCTGACTTATCGGCAACATCTTCCCCTTTTATGAATTTGTGATGCAGCAACACAACCAAAGGTTTCACAGTGCTTGTGTTTAACTGACTGTGTTCTTCTTCATGTGCAGGTGACCCTGCTGTGGGAGGACCAGACACGGCGCCACCTGCTGGCCAGTGCCAGACTTTACTTCTTACCCGAAGACACACCGAAGGGCCGGACCAGGGAGCATGGGGAGGTGGGTGAGAGAGCATGTCGTCCATACATTTAACACTGGCAAGGTGTTCGTCTCTATGTAATGATATTTTTTCATTCCTCTATTTACTCATATAAATACCTTTGTAGCGTGGGTGAAATGCAAAGGCTTCTTGTTTATGTAACCAAAATATCTTTGTGTTTGGATTGTACTGGAAGTGGGCACTGGCTTTACTGGAACTCTGCTTCATTTTCCGCATTATGCAGCAGTTTTCTGCTGCTGTTTATACTCCTTAAAATGATATCATTTTAATGAGTATAAACAGCAGCAGAAAACTGCTGCATAATGCTCCTTAAAATGATACTGTATGTATTAGTTTAACTGCCAGCAAAAAACTAACTTCTAATCAAGTTAAGATTCATTTGTCCCCACGTTGACAAAGTGACAAAAGAACCTCTTGTGTCCACATGATCTAGTTCACTCGTGGCTCTTTCTCTGTGTCACCATCCACCACAGTGTCCATTTTCTTCACCAGCTACAATTTTAACATAGTTCAGTTGTCTTGCCAACAGGTTTTCAAGTCGTGCAGATGCTTTGTGGCTGAACTTGAATATGACAAACCTCTGTGCCTCTGACTTTACGCAATCACTTATTTCAAGTGCCCAGTAAATCTGCTCTCACAGCACAGCTTCTGTCATTAAAATGTGGTTTTGCTCATTTTCTAGATGATGTGTACTGATCATAAAATAATGATTTTCTCTGCAGCACACCATCTTAGTAATGACTGCTGGCTAACAGCAGCTTGTCCTGTGAGCTGTGATCATAGCTCACACTCCTTTTTTGACATTTGACAGCAGAAACATATGCAAATGAGAAGAAGTATATTGCGAGTGTGACTGGATTAAAACAGGACTGGACCGACCAATAGCATCTCCCTCCCGCCTCCTTTTCCTCTGACTAATTCCAAACAAGAAAAACTAGTTTCACTTCATACGCATTAAGACAAAGTCAGTAACAAATTAAATGGAGCACTAAGAATAAACTTTAAAGTCAAATACAAATTCAGACATTTACCTTACAATAAAACATCTTTACAGAGAGGGCTACAGTTGCTTTTGAGTTCATAGTTTGCTGCTTTATTGACCTATTTTAACTTGATTCACCTTCTTAAGTTAGATTAGATAAACTTTGGATTCATTTTGTGGGATAAATCAAGTGTCGCAGTGGTGGACGAAGGACTGAAAGAAAGTCACTTTCGGCTTTTCCCGTTTAGGGGGCGCCACAGCGAATCGTCACACTGACGACTTGCATGTTGACATTTGGCACGTGTTTTACACCGGATGCCCTTCCTGACGCAACCCTGATTCGAACCCGGGGCGCAGCGGCAAGAGCGCTGCGCCTTAACCACTGGCCTACCAGGGACGGCGGACTGAAGTTTCTCAAATACAAGTAGTAATACTAAAGTGCAGAATGCTGTATTACAAGAAAAGGTCATGCATTCAAACACTTAATGAGTGCAGTCCCTCCCCCTGGAAGGTTCCACCTTTTAGCAATTCAGATAAAATGAAATTCACCTCAAATCAATACCTGCAGGAAACATCCAAAGCAGCTCCACGGTTGCTCTGAATAAATGGTGTGTGATTTTATAGGATGAGGTTTTGGCCGTGTCCAGGAAGATGGTGGTGCGAGTGGAGGACCTGGTGAGATGGTCTTGTGCAGAACCGGCAGGTTGGAGCAGCATCCTGAATCCGCCTCCCTGCAGGACCAATGGGAGCCACAAACCTCCACAGAGCGAAGATGACAACAACAGCAGCATCAGCAGCACAACGGACGAGAGCAGCGAGCCACTTACAGAGGGTAAGAAACACAGAGACCCTGAACTGATGGACTGTGGGTGAAGTTTGTGTGAAACCAGTGTTAAAGGACTCAATTGAAATGGGTTCTTTGATGGGTACCTGCCAACACAGAGTCTGATCTGATAGTTTTATGTACTTAAATATTGTTTAAATTGAAATAAAAGCTATAGCTACTTAATGACATAAACATGTCATCAAAATGCTGGTAAGAGCGAAAGAAGGAAGGATAGTTGGTGTGTAGTTGAGACACAACTAGCATTGGTTCCAGCTGCAGTGCACAGCTGTGCAAATCACCGATGTTATTGATCCCAGACTCGCATCTGCTCCACATTTGTTACACTGTTTTCTCTCAGATGGCCTGGTGGAGCATCAGGGCGTCAAAGTGCTCAGCTACCCGCAGTACTGCCGCTTCCGCTCCCTGCAGAGGCGCATCCAGGAGGGAGCGAGGGGCCCAGGGCTGCAGGACCCCCACCTGCTGGCCCTGGGAGGCGTCAGAGCACTGCCCAATACCCGAGTGATGTACTGCAGGGACACATTCAACCACCCGACACTGGAGAGCAACGCCAGCTTCTCCTGGCAGTTCAGTGAGTGCATCAGACTTTTACTGACAGGCTCCAGAGTAAGAGTCACACGGCATCACTGATGCAGATCATTCGTAGTTTGTTTGCTATAGAGAGCTGAAGTGAAACCAGAACTTCCAGGTTGTGTTCAGGAGGAAAGAAAACCCCATTCAAATTCCCACTGAGATTTCTAGTCTGGCTCATAACTAAAAATCCAACCTCATAACACTGTGTGTTTTGCTTACACTATAATGATAGAGCTCTGATACTTAATATTTTTATTTTTACTGGGCTTTAATGAACACCATTTCCCAGAACCTCATGCCGGTCGACTGGTGGGAGAATTCAACTGAGTTCCTGAGTCTAGTATATAACAGTGATGTACAGTATGTGTACCGCCATGCTGCAAAGTGTTGCTTGTGCTGTTTTCCTGTAGGATGTCCATCTCTCAGTCTTCGAGGTCGACCTCGCAAGAGGAGAGGCTGCGATGGCAAAGAGTCCCCGAACTCCAGCCAATCAGAGTCTTGGATCGACAGGATGAAGGTTCGTTCTTTAAAATCTTTTATAGCGTCCACGTCGATGTGGCTGAAGTGGTTTGCTCTATGTATATGTAGGTGCTTTTAAATCTACTGTTACAGTGCAGAGGTAAATGTTAAATTATCATAAATGTTGTCTCAGCTGTATTTTTGTATGAATTTAGTTCTATTTCTTGTAACTTTACTGAAGGTAAGACGGCAGCTGATTAATCGCAGGCGGTGAAACCAGTGGTGACCAAGAGATGCAGTATTTTAGGTGACGGAGGAAACTTGTCACCATTTTACTTATAAAGAGCCACTAGGTCTGGGTATTGTTACAAAATGTCTGATACCGGTACCTTGACTTTGAAAACAGTTCCTAAATGATATGTTTTTTTCTATACCAATTTTATAAAATAAATTTTAACAACAATAATTATACGTAATTACAGATTTTGGTACAGATCATTAGTTTTATTTTTCAATTTCTTGGCATCTTCATGCACTCAAAGCAGTTTCATAACATAAAAAGTAAACCTATTTTCCACAACATTAAGTTTTGTTAACATTAACATCAATGAAAAAAATGTAGAAAAGCGTTTTTCGATGCTCGACATTTTATGGTACTCTGTGGTATCGAAGTAAAATAATCATCAGAGTTTCTGTTGACCAATGAACACTGAGCAGACAGATCCTCACCTCATCTGCCAACAAAACGCTGTCTGAGAGTCGGTGTGTGTTTCCTCCCAGGAGAACGTGATGGGCAGCGTGGAGGTCGGCTGTGAGGCCAGCTGGCTCCCCCACCCTGAAGAACAGCTGTTCCTGGATCAGCTTTATGCCTTCATGGAGCGTCAGGGCTCACCCATCCACAAAGTCCCCAACCTTGGCTTCAAAAAGAGTGGGTCCTCCTCTTTCCTTTTCTTTCCTCTCTTTGGTCTGTGTCTTGCTTTTGTCTCTTTCTTTCATTTTCTTAATTTTTTCCTTCTTTCTTTGCTCATTTTGTCATTGTATTCTTTTCCTTTACTTTTCTTTCCTCTGTCTTTGTCTCTGCCCTTTTATTCCTTTCTTTCTCCATCCTTCCTTCTTTAACACAGCGCTCTTGACATTTAAGAAATGGAAGGAGGTCACAGGTGTGATTCCGCCTGGCAACCTCCACCCTTCACATTTCAGTTATTTAACCAGAACTTACTCTTAAAAAGTTTGAAGAGCAGTCACAGATTCACAGCCTATAGCAGACAACAGTAAAAGCACTGTGCTTCACAAATAAACAAAACAAAATGTTACTTGAGTAAAAGCATCAGCATCCAAATATACTTGTAGTACCAACAGTACCAGTACTCATCCTGCAGAACAGCCCGTGTCACAGTAATGTCTCTGATACCACTGGATCATAGTGACTGATGCGTTACTGTGTTCATCACTTTAATTCTGCAGCTGGTAAAGGTGGAGCTGTTGTTCACTACCTTATGTACTTGTACTGTGAAGTACTTTCCATCCTGCTGGGTAGCTGGTGGATTTCCCACCAGGATCACTAGAGTCTGATGGTTCTACTGGGTTTGGTTTGATTCATCTGATTCTGGAAAGGAACTGAAGTTATCAGATACATGTAGGGCAGTAAAAAGTACAAATGTAGTGTAGGAGTGAAAATATCAAAGGAGAACACTTTGTTTTATCTGGGTTTTTATAGGCAGGGCCATAAACTCACGCACATATTTTGCAGATTGGTTTTATCAGATCATATTTGTGTAGTGAAACAGTGATGTTAGAAACACATTGACTGTGTGTTTTTGAGAAGTACAACCTGATTTGCATTTTCATCTTGGCCTATTTGCGTGTCTGCTCTGAACATGTTTGTCTGCTCTGTCTTCAGTTGACCTCTTCCTCATGTACTCTGTGGTGAAACGGCTTGGCGGCTACAAAAAGGCGAGTCTCTTCACTTTAACCTTTGCTTAAAGGAATAGTTTGGCATCTGGGCAATGTACACATTTGTAGAGCTACTTGAGAAGATTGAAACCAGGCTGATGTATGTGTGCTGAATATTAAACTACCACCAGCAACCAGTTAGTTTAGCTTAGCATAAAGACTGGAAACTAGGGGAGACTGCTGGCCTGCCCTCATCAAACAGCATTTTGTTATTTTTACACTTTGAGTTTTGTACAGGTTTATCTAAAGAACTCATAAGTGGAATCAGAGGTACAGCCATGTCATGATGATACTTGAAAATATTTTAGATTAGGTCTTACTACATGTGATAGTCTTATAGAATATAAAGTATTTTTAAAGACTAAACTAGTGGTTCATAACATTTTTGGCCACAAAAAATCAGTGTCCAAATCAGGTTGATTGTAAAGTGTCTAACCGTTGTTATCAGTTTGACAAAAGAGTGATTTCCTCTCTAAACCCCAAGTCTGAAAACTGAAAACAATTTAGTGTAGTGCCTCAGTTTGTAGTGAATGTTAACATTACTTTCTGGAAGAGACAAAATGACCACAACAAGACACAAAACTGATGCAAAGTGATTGCAAAGAAGCACAAAGTGACCAACAATTACGAGATACGGAAATACTGTAAAAACACACAATAACTAAAGGTAAATGCAGATTGACCTCAGAGATGCACAACAACCACACCGTACAAAAATACTGCAAGGACACGTAAAACTACAAAGATACACATGATGACTGCAAACAACAAAATGGCAGCCACCGCATTGTTGGAGGGCTGGGGGCCTTTACATGTCTGTGGCCATGGGCCAGTTATCCCTTGTGCAGCTTCAGCGGTGAAATGCTGCTGAAACTTTGATGACTCAGTGTTAATCTGATAATGTCAGATAGAATTGGATTTCGGTCAGTAAATAAACTCACAACAATAGAACTTCACAATAAATAAAAAAGGGCGGTACATAATCAGCTTAGCGCTGCACTGTTCACAACAAAAAGCCTGCTCAGTCACTCACTCCACCCACTGCGCTGAACCGAGCCTTGTACTGAACAATACAGTGTTACACAATGTGGTGATACACCACTGATCACACACTGTATAATGTATGTAACTGTTTCAGTCCCACACAAACACACACTCGGGCACCAGCACAGTCACTTTAAATAAACAGTCAGCTAACATATAATTAATTAGAGCATGCAGCCGAGTCCTCAGCTGAATCCTTTGCTGGCTGCAGCTGCCATCGTACTGACCTGTGTGAGGAGCGGCGCAAGTCTGCCACTGGTCAGGGATTAGCCCTCCTCCTCCACTTGACACACAGCCCGAACACATTGGGCTTTGACAGGTTCAACTGCAGCGCTTTCCACCGTCTAGCTGGTGTGAGCATGGCCGGATCAGGATACACTGGGCCCCCGGGCACAGACATGTAGAAGGGCCCCACCCCTCTGACAACAGACTGGAAAAGATGAAAAGGGATTACAAGTGTACTTTGTACTTGTTTTGTGTGTCTTTGTAGATTTTCTTGTGACTCTTTGTGGTTGTTTTGCATCTTTGTGTGGTGTATTTGAGTTTGTGGTTATTTACTTATTACTTGTTCACAGCATTTGTCCCTTGTGCAGTTTGTGTTGTTGAAACCATCTTAATATAACAATGAAGCCTGAGTGGGCAAAACCAATGGTGTTCCTCTTTTTGTGCTGGAAGTAATGTTAGCTTGGAAAGATGGAGCAGAGTTGGGTGACAGAAAGGGGGCATGAATGAACCATAAGGAGGATGTACATTTGCCCAACACTGTGAACTACTAGCTTGCAAGTAGTAAAGGAATTTACAGTAAGAACAGTAATTTACTACCACTGATACTCTTTCAGTAAAGTCCAAGATGGGACCAGGATGAAGAGACAGTGTAAAAAGGTGTATATTTAGTTTATCAAACACAAAAGTTTGATTCAGTGTTGACTGATTACAGTTTGAATATCCTGTGTTCAAACGGCTACAGTCCAGCCCAGCAAGTTGAAAGCTGACCATCGTCATGTTTGTGTCACAGGTGACTTTGGACCGTCTCTGGAAGGTCGTGTATAACGAGCTGGGAGGATGCCCGGGCAGCACCAGCGCTGCCACCTGCACCAGGAGACACTATGAGAGGTCAGACCTGAAAGTATTTACATATTTCCCAAAAAAAAAACAGACCCTGGTGTGTGAAAGTATGTGCACTAAGGCTTCTGTAACTGTGTGTGCTGACTCAGGCTGATGCTTCCTTATGAGGAGCACCTCAGAGCAGGAGGGGCCGAATTCAGAATCCCAGAATCCCCCATGCCTCCCAAACCCAGAGGGATAAGAGGAAGGAAGCCACTTCCAAGAGGCAGAAAACCAGGACCCAAAGCCAAGGAGAAGAAGATCACGGCCCCTGCTCCTCCTCCACACACTGTAAGTGATTTCCCAACACATTTTAAACATGGTTCCCGATATCGTTGGACATAAGTGGACCTTGATAAAACCTGCGGACATCCTGGTCCACATGCATAAACCTCGGTGTAGATTCACGACTAGAGCTGTGTGCAGGCACTTAGACAGAAGTGAGCGTTCACATTGTTTTTGTCAGGTTCATAAAGGTGCACAGACGCCTGGTTCTGTTTCATAAATCTCAGACATGGCGGAATTGGGCGCACTTAGCCATAAATAGACACAGACATGTCCTCAATCAGTCATTCCCTAGAAAACAGTCTGAGCCACACATTATTAGACATGGCAGTGAAAGCAACACTGAAGAAGAAACACAATTTCAGTGAGTGTAAAGCTGAGACATTCACTGGCGCAGTGGAGAAAAGAAAAGGGTTTTGTTTGGTGGTTAGAACGAACTCTAAACACTTGTTCTCTTCTCGTTGGACGAGAACAAGTGTTTAGTTCATGCTCAACACTATTGATGATAGTTATGTCAGCAGTTTACAGAATGGTTTACAACAAAGTCTAAAATGAAAGATAGGAAAATCTACATCAAGCAAAAGAAACGAGGAATCCTGAAAAATGTATCAGGCCAGCATGAATGCAGCATTTACAAATAAACTATGAACAGAAATGTATGTAAATGGCTACAAATAATGCCAACTGTTTAAAACTGGCTGGTTTCTATATGTTAAATTCCATGTCCCACCTTGTCATTTCCATTTCACCACATCACACCCACCTAAACCGTGTGAACACATAGTCGGTGTTCACACATACCAGTTAATGCAAAATATTCAGGGGTCATACTCGCAAAGCATCATGAGGCTAAAAGCAGTTTCCAGGTGTTTGGGTTTGGAGCAACGTGTCAGGCCCAACTCTGATGAAGCTCCTGGTGTAATGTTGTGGAATAGTGAAAAAGGAATAACTTTTAAATGTACGTCAGCCATCTGACAGAGGTGTTGGTCCAACTGTAGATGTGGTTTGTGCTGATGTAGGAGTGGACCAACAGAAACACCTGTAACACAGTACAGGTGAACAGGAGCACAAATGTGAGCCTCCACAGTGACCACCCAGGTGAATCAACACCTCTCTGAAACAGTTTGAATACAAACTAAACCTCAACACCTTCATGAAGTAAGATTTACCTGCAAGATTTGGATTAAGCAAGAAGTGCAGCGCATAGATGAAAAACGCCCCCTCCAGCAGACTTTAAATGCCAGAACTCACTGGTGATCTTCTCTCTCTGAGCAGATCGTGAACCCGAATGGCACCGTGGTGGTGAAGAGAGGCCGAGGCAGGCCGCCGGGCACGCGCAACAAGGCCACGCTGATCGCTCAGGCCAAGCTGCTGGCTCAGCAGCAGGCTAAAGCTAAAGCAGCAGCAGCAGCAGCATCGGTGGCTGTAGAGTCACAGCAGCAGACAGCTCTGCTGCCAGCCAGAGGCCGAGGTGGACCAACCCCCAGCAGCACGCACAGGGTAACTCCTCAGACTCTGCTGTACCGCAGGGAAAATTAGACTTGCATCACATGAGCGGAACACATGTTGATAACATTCGGTTTATGAGTAACTTGCACTTTTTGAGCCTATCATTATATCTGATGCTTATCTAAATCCAAATCATAGAAAGATGCTTCAGAAACTTGCCTGAGAATCATCAGGATTTTCAGTTTTCCTCAGTATCAGTATCTCAATGACAGTGGTCTGTATATCCATGGGTTCACAGGAGCTGCTAATAGCTAATTCGGCTTATGGTTCCTGTGTGCTCACAGGAGACACCGGTGGCTACCTGTAGCTGATGTTACAACAGCATATTTAATGAGCTTCAGTCAGAGATCTACTTTAAAATACAAGGACGCTGCTCCAGACAAGGTCTAAATGACAGGAAAAGCAGCCAGTTCACAGGTCATTTTATTTATTACCAGGGTGGGGGTAAAGACGTACTCATGTACAGTGCACACCAGATGATATAAAGTCATTGTTAAAATAACCCTCCTCCTTTAGAGACACAAATCCAGTCCAAATGGGCTTAGGTTTATAACCTCCAAATGCCTTGAAAGCCTCCTAATCACAGACCAGAGGACCTAAGGGAGAATAGTGCTGTTTGTGGCAAAGGACAGATCAGGCAGGCCCCCATCCCCCCTGCTGGCTCTGGAGGAGACTGTTTAACCCAGTCACATTCAGTCTATTAAATAAATATCCAGTTGAGGCAGCTGGGGATGAAAAGCTTCTGCTGTCACGTTTGTTTGTGATCAGACCATTTGTTATGGTGAGGTGAGGCTTGGTCTTGCATGAGGCCCAGTTTCACCTCTGTTTTCCTCTCCTCCTTTCCTGCAGCCCATCCAGCCGGCCCTCCTCCCTGTCAACATGCCCCTCACCCCTGACCTCTCCCCTATGTCTGCCCCCTTCCTCCCATTCCAGTCCAAACCAAAGGAGCTGAAGCCAGAGTCTGTAGCTCCTGCTCCAGGCATGCTCCTGTCAACGTTGCCTCGACACTTCATCGGGGGATCTCTGACCAGCTTCAGTCCCATCAAAGGCATCTGTCCTCTGGATGTCTTCAGGAACCACTTCAGCTTCCAGAGAGGCCCAGAGAGCCCAACCCTGACGCCTCAAGATCAGAGCCAGCACCACCCAACTATCTACACCCTCCAGCCAAAAAACACAAGCCCAGATACACCTCATCCCAGCGGGGACCAGATCCAGCCTCAGTCCCACCTGATTCACCAGCACCACAACCACTGCTCAGGGTGTCATGTGGATGAGGGAGCCCAGAGAGGAGGCATTCGGGACATGAGGACTCGGCCCCCTCTGCCCCCTCTCCGGGTCCTGCCTTTGAACCTGGACTGCAGTGTTCAGGTGTGTCAGCTGATGAGAACTCGTCGTCTGGACTCTTCTCAGTTGCAGAACTTCACCCGCTGCCTGTCTGAGGCTCTGTCCCAGGACCTGAGCACCAAGCCCCCCTGCTCACCCATCACCCCTCCCCCCGAGCAGGCGCTACCTCTCAACCTCAGCAAACGCTTTATGGCTAAGAGGCCCAGCACAGAGGGGCCAGAGCCAAGTCAGGCAACGATCAACAGAGACTCAGATCAACCGTCATCTAAGAAACCCAGAAACAGCTGCACAGAGCAGGCTGAGGACTTCACCCTGGGGGGCCGGTCCAGCTCTGAGGACCATGGAGGAGGAGGGGAGGATGTGGATATGAAACCCCAGGAGGAACCTGCAGACCTGAGTTCTCCCAGCAGGATCAGGGCCTTCCTGCTCGGGCTGCCGCCCTTCCAGGTGAAACTCGAGGAGGATCTGAACGGGACAAGGTTTGGGAAATTTCTTCCTCCAGGATCTGAGGCTGAAACCCAGAGGACCAATACAGAGAAAGCGGAGGGAGGAGTGGTGGTAAAGAAGGAAGAGGAGGTGGGTGAAACAGAGAAAAGTGACAAACTACAACAGTCGGAGCAGGAGAAGGAGCCCAGCCACTGCTCCGGTCCTGACCCTGCAGTGCTGCAGAGAGCCGGGCCCTCAAACACTGACACACACTGTTTTTAGCGTTGTTCCCTCTGCTGATCCTTTGTGAACAGAAAGCTGTTGGTAAGTCTGAGATGTGTCATTGTTGGAGTCTGGAAAGTTGCATCCACGCAGAGCTCGGTGTTGGTTCTGGATGCCTGAACATGCAGAGCAGGGATGTTTCTTTTCTTTGAGATTGTCTGAACTGAAAACTGCTCTTTGTTTTCAATTTCTGTCTCTCATTAGGTTGACTTCTCTCTGGTTTCAGTAATGTCACTCACTGAACTTTGCAGAGGAGAGACGACACAGAGACCCATGACAATCACAAATCAGTTTGTTTTCTGTTCACTCTTGGTTTCTGTCTCTTCATGGTTAAAAAAGGAACAGAGGAGTAAGACAGAGTCTCTTACAAACACTGCCATAACCCTTCATAACACTATTAACTCCACTATTCAATATTACAGGGAAATATTGAATAAGATCAATTTTACTTAAAATACAACTCATTATTACATATATGGGTGATGCTATGCATCAAGACGTCATTATTAACATCCAGAGTGTACTGTAGTTTGATTTTTAAATTGTACTCTACTTCTGTAGAGAGAGTTATTTTCTGATAAAGTGTTTAGATGTTATGTGGAGCGCTGAGGGAAAACCTCAGTCTTCATGTTATAGCTCATTAAGTGAAGCCTTTCTATAATCCTGCTCGTTAGCTGAAATTATATTGACATTTCTTACACGTATGTGCCTTAAACGGCCTGCGATCTGTTCCATCGCTGGCTACGCATTCACTTAAAGAGATACCTTGATGTTGGACCTGTTCTATGTCCTTCACTCCACAGGAGGGCTGGGTATGTTTGAAACACTAGCATGGTGAGCTGTTACTTTGAGAAACGTAAAGAAGGTTTCCTACAAAAATTATCAAAAGAAACCAAAGTTTTCAGCTTTTCTCTCTATACAAGAATGTTTCTCTAGGTTTAAATCCAAAACTACAAATCTGACTAAAAGATTCAGCGCCAACTCTCAGTATTTTGATCTCAGAGATTTTGATCCCCACTGCTGCTGACACATTTTGTTCAGTACCAGGAAAAAGTGTTGATACCCAGTTCTGCTGAGTAAGAAATCGCATCAGTGCATATGTGAACATGTAGCCCAAGCGGTCAGACTACCTCAGGCTTTTTTAAAATGGCCCAGCATGCACTGGGTCGACAGCAACAGACACAATTAGACCCCAGTCCCTTTGGTATTAGAGGATGCGGCCAGTGTTTTTCTCACTGTCAATACATTCTGACGTCGTCTAGTCTCAGACTGGTTCCTACAGAAGATGTAAATCTCTGAAAACGCTTCACCAATATATAGTTTCATTTTGAAAACAGTAGTGGTTGTTGATAAGAAAAATGTAAATGTAAAAGCATAATGCCAACTGAATTACTCTTATCTACAGTCTGTATCTGGGTACATGATGTGCGTACACCTGGTCTTAATTAGCGTTGTCATTATCTGTAGCAGGTTGAGAGCACAGGAAGGGATGGGCACAGCTGAATGTTCAACTTGTTACCCCCTAAAACTGTCAGAGGGTGTTTTCTCCTTACATGAGTAGTTTGACATCTTGATGAAGGCACTTGGATGTGTCCTGGGTGAGAGTCGGACTCCTGTGTCTCTAGAGTAAATATGGAGCTACATCCAGCAGCCGTTAGCTTAGCATTGTGAAGCTAGCATGCCCCCGTCAAAAGGCAACGCAGTGCATCTCGCAGCTCCTCTAAAACTCAGTGAACCGGTTTGTTTAATCTGTACAAAAACAAAAGCGTAAAAGTCATGACGTCGTGTCCAGACTAACCTGTCTGTGCTGTAACTCAAAATGCCTCCAGCATCATTTCACTGGTCTGAAAAAATAAGCCATATTCCTGGAGTTTATTTACCATAATCTAAAACGGATTGGCTGCAATAAAATCAAAGCTTTGCAATTTAAAAAAAGATTGAATGTGAGCACGTCATCCTCAATTGGTGTTGTTGACACCCATGAAACTCACTACTACCGGCTACTAGTGATGGTTAAAATTTCTGCTTTCTAAACACTTCTACATTGTCGTCTGTGCCCCGCTGCTGTAACAGACATGAACTAACCAAAGACACTGTACTGTTTAGCCTGCGAACGTCTAAGGCTTCTGGGAAATACTGCATGTTAAAGTATATAAACAGAAATACTGAGTAAACAATGATACTGGGTAGTCTTTAAAAATACTGTTGGCCTAACATAGATACACTGTAGATGAGAAAAGCCACTTAACCGTGCATAAATCTGTTCCCTTAATGACATCCATGTTTCCCCTCACTCAGGTGTTTTGTCTTGGTCCCGTCCACATCTCATGCAAACAAAAGATGCAAGGAAAGAGGAATCGTGGAAATAAGTTTTTAGAGACATTAGATTTCCTTTTTCTCCAATTTTTCATCTGAGGCGTCCCAGCACTGACTGATTTCAGATGAAGGGGCTTGTCGGTCCATAAAAGACTTTTCCGGTAGCCAACTTCACGATGGCAGACCGGAGCAACTTTCAGGTCAAGTGAGGAACTAAGGAATAAGAGAATTAGGATTTACCCATAGTGCTGAGAAAGGTTAAATCAGAGTTTTTAAGTTATTAGAATAGATACAAATGTCAGTGCCATTTTGAATGAGGTTTTACTTTCGGAACAGAACCTGGAAGTTCAGTTTTCACTTCAGCTTTCAGTTTGTTGGCTTGGAACAGTGCCTTGCTGAGACGGTCATTTGTGCCAGCATTTTATTACGATCAGCAGTTATGTGCTATAGTTTGACCTCTAGTGACCACTTTACTTATGGCACAGGCAAAGCTGCTTCGGTGACTTGGTATATAGAGCCAGAAAGTTCATGTTAGGACGAGGCTGGTGAGGAGGCCTAGGTACGTAAAACACAGGACTTTCTCCCAGGCAAGTGAGGTTCAGTTCCTCTGTGTGTGTGTGTGAGATCTGTTTTTTTTTTTTCTTCATGTAAACATTTTTCTTTATTTAAAAAAACGACAGCCTCAGTCTTCCACCTCAGTCTTGCTCTCCTGCAGCTGATCAGCATCTGTAGCTGGAGCTTGTTGGCTAAGAAAATGCTCTGAACCACACAGCTGCCTGAACCTGTGTGATGTTCTTGCAAGATGGCCCACATCTTCTAGCTCAAGATAATTTATTATCTTGAGCAGGATCTCGTCAGGCAGACGGTCCAGGTAATAATAGTGGCCGTGGCATAAAGCCTCACTGTACCTCAGGATTTCATCTCCAAAAATCCTATGGACAGCAGACTTCAGCCGAGTGTCACGTATGTAGCTGGGGAGGACAAAAATATATAAATGTATATTGTGGTTAATGTTGGTGGAGTTCCTGAAATTCTACCTGGACTACCTAGTTTGCCAGCAACTGGTCCCAGCCAGGAAATGATCTAAACAAACAAGAGGAGCTTAAACAAGTGAGCCTGTAGCATGTTCGTAGTGAGCTTTAGAGGAGCTGGTACGTGGATTTGACTAGCTGTTTCCAGTCTTTGTGTGGAGGTAGGCTAACCGTCTCGAGCTGTAGTTTCAGACCAGATATCCAGATGCAGATAGACCCTTACTGCCAGGTGAGAATGAGGAATCAAACCTGCATTCACTCCAAAGAACTTGACATTTTCCCCGGGAACCAATCCACTCAACCACCTTGCTTTTTCCTTTTCTCATCTGAAGTGCCAACGTGAAACACTGACCCTATATTGTGCCAGAACCCTTGTGTAGCTGCAAGACTTAAAATGTCAAGGTATCACTTTAACGGCAGCCTTTTCCTTCGCCTTGTTTATGCTTGTTCTTCTGCCACAGACGCTGGTTCAGATTTGCACACCTTCACTTGGTTTTTGTATATTTTTACCTGCCACTGATTTTTGTTCCCTTCTGCCAAATTTTGTTACTTTAGTAGTGGAATTAACTACGACACCGGAATTAAGTGGTGCTGTTTATTCATAGCTATGTAGCTGTTGTTTTAATTCATAAAGCTATAGTTGTTTGCAAGTCTTCAATTCAGTCTCACTCTGACGCCAGTGTAAAACCTCTCTCTGCAGATTTCATTGTCCAGGGAGTTTAATTTACCTGAACAACATCAGGACTTGTGAAAATATTTTATCCTGATGTATTTGACTGTTGGCATCATGTGATGCGGAGATGATTGTTTGTGAATGAATGCATGAGCAGAGGCCCGGTAGACTCAGTAGATCATAGGTGGCAGCTGCACCAAATCACATGTACTCTGAGAAACTCAAACCAAACCTTCTCTTTAACCTTCCTGTAACATCTGAGGTATTGTTAGTATTTCAGGATATTGCAAATAATTATTTTACTGCGCCGGCAGAGATGTCACTTTCCATGTCTGTTTTCTTCTTCACTTGAGGGATAAATGAAACTGGTAACACGGTAAAGTCATATTTTCATCAGTGCATTCAGATTTACATCTCCCAAGTTTGATAATCTTGCAACAGGACATATATTTTGTCTCACTCTGCTTCATCCTGTCAGTTAACATGTATTTATTAAGGTGAGCTGTTTCTGAGCGTGCACCACGTTGGGCAAAGGCCTCAGTGTGCTTCATATGACCATGACTAAAGCAGAAGTGTTTAGAGCTGTTCTGGATGATCACGCTCGAAGGTGGCTGTGTTAATGTAGCATTCAGTGTTTTTTGCCCTGCCTGCGAGCCCCTCTAAACACTTGTGCCCGCACACTTTGTACAAGCTTTGTACAATTTGTTTCTTATTCGTCTGAACACACTGGGCACCTCCCAGTCAAAGCACAGCTCCACTGGAACAGTTTTATCTCAGTGTGAATCTCCTGAACATTTGTTTTAGTTAGATTTTATTGTTTTTCCTGCATGTCTTGTATATTAATAACAATGTAATTGTCCTTTGAAGGGTGGAGGGGACATCTTCTAGTGTAGAGCTGAGCAGCATATTAACACCAAATGAAAGTTGAATAGTTTTTCTTCTTTTGTTTTTTTTTAGCTTTAGTTTGTAAAGGTTTATAGGTTTAACTTCATTTTTTCCTTTGTTAAATTTAAATGTTTACATTTTGTTATGCATGTTAAACAGATATATTGTTATATCCAGTGTTTTGCACACTACAGCATCAGTCCGGAACGGCACTGCTCATTCTTGTAAAGTACTTAAAATTAAGTGCCTGATATGTAAAAGTGACAATTGGAGTCAGCAAATGAAATGGAAATTTGCTCATTCGCCTTTGTGCCACTGACTTGAACAACGGCTCTTGTCGTGATGTTTCACTGAACATTTGATTAAAACCTCTGTACGAGAAGAGAGGATCATGGTAAAAAAGCAAAAGCAGGAGTCTGGCTCAGCTCCTCAGCATCTGTAGGAGCAAAGTGGACCTAAGGACTCGACTACAGGGACACCTAGTGGGCGCCTGGAGTTCAGAGCGCTCAGCGATTCATCCAGTGTGCAACCTTCTGTGATAGATGGCAAAATTAAAGGTGCTACATGTGGCATTTTACCAGCTGTGAATTGGCCATGCATGCCATGCATGTTCATTAGTACTGGATGTTAAACAGCGTTTTTTATCTGTCAGTGCCAACACTGGTGGTAGAAAACGGTGCTAAGGTGGAGCAGGCTACCTTAGAGCATGGCTAAGCAAAACACAACGGAAAGTCACAGGCTGGAAACATGAATGGAGCAACTCACGTCGACTCGTCACAACGTGGCCATGTTGGACACGCCTACAACACTCCCCCCGTGACCCCTCACCCCATCTGTGTAGGTTTACTATCATGTAGTTGAAGAAATCTTGCACGTTTCCACATTTCAGAACCTGGAACCAGTAAATTTGACAGGTTTTTCATAAAATATGTTGATTAATGTTCTGCCATTCAACCAATCAATCAATGAACTAATCATTTCAACTCTACACATGTACAAGTGTGTTACTGGTGTTGTCCCCTTCAACATCTCCTGCAGTAAACCTGATTTTAAATATACATCTTCAACAACCACAAAGAAATGTCATCAAACACTGTTGTGAGATTAATGGAACCAGACATTTCCAGCGTGTGACGTCGATGTACTGCTGTTAAAAATGCTGCATGTGGCACCTTCACAATCTGTTGGATGTTTCGTATCAATGAATGTCTCTCACACCTTCCTGTGATCTCATTTTCTCACTGGGCCCATTTCGCCTCATGTTTTTGTGTTTTTCCCTTCATAAAACGAACCCAGATCAACCGTAAAGCGTTCGTTCTGTACAGACTGTGCTGAACTGAGCTGAGGACGACGACCCAGGTTAATCACAGTAAGACCACACTTTGACCTGAATGCTCATCTTCTGTTGATTGACGCTCTGTTCTTGCATATGTGTGATCTGATCATTGCAGTTCTGCAGCACAAACTCCACGTATTGTCTGTAGAGGTGGTTAAATGGCTGGCATTGTCAGGTACCATTCCATTTTAACACTGTATATTTATAATAAAAGTAAAATAAACATCTGTTAATC